CTCTGCGAGTGACCGGGGCAGGGAGGCAGAAAGGAGAGCAGCAGATCCGAAGGGAAGCGCAAGGCAGGAGGCAGAGCAGCCAATCAAGGAGGCACAGAACAGGGAGCGGGGGGGGGGGAAGCAGATCAAGCTGGGAGCACAGGACAGGGAGCAAAAAGCAGAATAGCAGCTCAGGCAGGGGGCATAGGGCAGGGAGCTGAAAACAGAGCAGCAGATCAGGCAGGAAGCAGAACAGCAGGTTGGGCAGGGGGCGAAGGGCAGGGAGCAGAAGATCAGCCAGAGCACAGGGCAAGGAGCAGAAGGCAGACCAGCAGATGGAGCAGGGGGCACAGCATAGGAAGCAGAAAGTAGAGAAGCAGATCAGAAGGAGCAGGAAGCAGAGCAGCAGTTCAGGTAGGGAGCAGAAAGAGTGGTAGATGGAGCAGGGGAAGAGGATCAGAGTAGCACTCAGACACATTGTGTGACACTTACTTTGTGGCATGCCAGCTAAAAAGGTTGGTACCCACTGAACTGGCATAGCACATGGCAGGTTCATAGGAAATCATTGAGGAATTGGGCAGTGGAAATGAAAAATACATTTTTGAAAGGTGTCTAAATAGTTCTGAAGATCTGGCCTTTAGGTTTATAAGCGCCCAATAAGATATTTAGAAGTGCTCAAGCGATATAGGCAGCTGACTCCGATTGATGCAGCATTGATCCAGCTCATGCCTTTGACAGACCTTTGAGAATACAGTTCTAAATCCTTTTTGAAATGGAATTTAGGAGTTTAAATCTCATTGACTGCCAGGGACACTTCAACTTCTAAAACTCTAATATTAGATTCTGAAAGTATCATCCCAGGAGTTCTTGCTCCCTGTCAATGTTCTGAATCCTGGACAAACTTAGTTCACTGGGTATGAAAGAAACCAGCTCCTTCCACTGATGCAAATCCCAGGAAGTTTTTTTTATCACTGATTGTAGGAGAAGCCTATTTAAGCTCCCCATCCTGCAAGTTATCATACATAGCTAGACACTAGTGCTTGTGTGGAGCATTATGCAACATATTTGCAAGGTCAGGGCTTTAGCTGCTACTCCCCGGCTTGGCTTTAGGTTTTTCAAATAATTGTGTCATTATTAAGTTCATAACTTCTATTGTTTAACTTAGATATTGAACTGTATGAAATATTAACATTACCATGCATATTAATAAGATAAATTATTATTTGTATGAATAGTACTACTGCAACTGCGATCAGAATCCAATCATACAAATACATAGAGCTGTTTTAGTGGCAAACAAAACCATTCCAAAAGTGTAACAATCTTTATTTTAGATTTTTTTTCCTCCTCTATATAAAATTTATCTATTTTAACAGAGTCTTTGGAACATGCAACAAAGAGAGAACTGTATCAGGTAGTAAAAAAGGAGCTTTTATAACATCAGTTTGTGAATATACTTACAATAGCAATCCAGTTGTCCTGTTTTGAAAAAAACTATATTAATTTATTTTGACAGAAATGTATAGCCATACTGCTTTGTTTAAGAAGGCAGAGGAGCTGTTGGCAAAGAGGATAAAAGATGGAGACCCCCTGGCATATTTCCTAAAAGGGCAGCTGTACTTTGAAGAGGTTGTAGTTTAATGCTTTTTTCTTTTTTTTTAAGAAAACATTTTAAACTGATATTTTTCAATACAATCTCAAGGGGAAATATTAACACTAGAAAGTGCTCCATGGGAGGATATAGAAAGTAACATAAAAGCAGTAAAAATTGATTAGTAACTGTATGAAGCATGATTCCCTACAAGAAACAATGAAAAATCAAAAAGAGGGAGACAGTGGGGACATCTAAACATACAGATACTATCTATCTGTTGCACATTTATTAATCTGAACTGAATGTTTTGGGCACACTAGTCCAGCAGTTAGCAACCTTTTTTAGGCTGCAGGCCGGTGACCCAGTTTGGATCAGAAGTGGGTGGATGGGTTGGTGCTAGGCCTCAGCTGCTTCCAGTACTTTTCTCCATGGCAGCACAGGGAGATTCACCTGCAACTAGAACTTTTCCCCCATGGTGGCACAGGAAGATAACTCTTGCCAAAGACCCACATCTGCAGACTGGATGAAATGGCTTCACAGGCTGGAGCCATTGGACATATGCTACATGGCTCCATGGGTTGTCAGCCCCTGCTTTAGATAGTGACATGAGTTTCACCGACTGTACTGAGGGCAGGTATAAGTCCTTTATCATAGTTTTTTCTCGGCCAGTCCTCCTTTTAGTGGTAAAAATGTTAATCTCAGTGGGATTGGACCCTTCAAGAAAATCAGTCTGTTCCTGCCTATATAGAAGTTAGATACTCATTTGTGTATTAATGCAGGGTTGTCCAACTGGCAGCCCACAGGCTGCATGCTGCCCCCCAGGGTAGCCCCCAGCAGCCCTCAGGCTCCTGGTCCACATTCTGCTTCCACATCACTCTCCTGCTGCTGCTGGTGCTGGGTTCCTGCTCTTACCTTTAGTTTCCATTTGCTGCTCCTGCCCCTAGACACAGGACAGTGGCCTAGCTCACAGGGCTGAGGGATCCTGCAGCCAGGGAGTTTGGAGGACCTGGAGATGATGTACAGCATGGGGGTACTGGCTCCGTGTAGTTGGACTGAGGGGTCCACCATGCAGGGTAGCCAATGTGGCACTTTGCCCCCAGCCACTCAGAAGTTGGACAGCCCTGTATTAGCATATAGTCCTAACAGCAGTTTCTGACTGTATCTTCACTTCTAGACACATCAAAGTTCATCTTTGTGGTTTTATAGTTTACATTTAGTTAAGATTTTTAAGAGTTCTTAAAATTTTTGTAGTTTTATGTGCTGTTGTACATACTACATATTCATTGTGTGATCCAGCTCACTAAAATGAAATGGAATGTTTTAAGGGCCTTGCATCTTCCACCTTTATTTTTCTGATACACATGCTGGGAAGGTGCAAAATGTTACTTCCAATTATTAAAAAAATCCTCAAAACTCCTCAACAGCAACAGCCCACAATCACCTACTCAGGACAGCTGTTTTATTGGGACCATTTCCAAGAAACAGATTTAGCTTGATGGTGGTGGGTACAGGGTAATATTAGTATAAAGTATTTTGCTACGTAAGGCTGTTTGACCAAATGTTGATCAGCTGTTGAGTTCTAAATTCCTGATGCTTAATACTGTTGTCACCAGTGGAAGATTGAAAAAAAATTAAAAAAATTAAGAAGAAATATAATGAATACCCTTTTTTTAGTATGCTATTCTATTTCATTAGGGCCTTTTCCAATTTCTAATAAATTAAGCAACACTTTAAAAACAGGATGCCAGGGTCTTCAGTGAAATAGTTTATATTATAACAAGTTTACTTTGTATTTTAAAATAGCTTTCTTCCTCCATCATTGAAGTAGAAATTTAAATATTTTCTTTCTGAAAAGTTCAAACAAAGTCCAAGAAGCTACTTGCCTTTTAGTTATTCATTGGTAAAGAAACAGAGGAGACAAGACATTTTAATTTTACCGTGAAGGTAAACAGATGAGGTCAGCCCTGAGTAGGGGTGATCTGAATTTTGTGGTACAAAATTTTGTGGTGCTAACATTACTAGCGTACTCTTGGTAAATGCTGCATGTGCCTTGTATCACTTACCTGGTTGTTATATTTGTGTAACAAAAAAACACCATTGTGTCAGTGAAGATAAAGTCATACAGTGGCTATGTGGGAAGAGATCCAACTCTTAAGGCATGCCCAGCAAAAGACAGGGCAATGGCACCTGTTTCTAAAATGCCACCCTGTCCTGACTTTTGCCTGACTTGGAACTAATATGGCTAACTACCTCTTTCTACTATAGGGTATGTCTGTGGTGCAAGGTACCACCACGTAGAGATTTTCCACAGTAGTTCTGGGCATGCTGGCTCCAGAACCAGAAGGACTCTTATGGCAGTAGCATGGTGCTACATGTGGGCTAGTTACTTCAGTGTAGATCATGTTGGCCTTTGTATAGTGCTGACTTCCAGAGCAATCACATGCACAGTTAGTGTCATCTCTGCAAGATGCTGCCTTATGCCATACAATAACAGTTGGCAACCTTTCCAGAGAGAAGGCCAGAATGACCCATCTTGGGTCCAAGGAAAGGCAGCACTAGGACCTGGCCACTGCTGCTTCTGTCACTTCTCCCTGTCACCCGGCCATGGCACAGGTAAAGCCTTCTGTGGCCAAGGCTTCCCCTGATTGCATAGGCCAGATCCAATGGCACTATATGCCAGATTCAGTGGCTCATGGGCTAAATTGAGCCTGCAAGCCAAAGGTTGTCAACTCCTGCTGTTATACTTCAGCAAACCATTTTAGCATGCACATAAGTCCTTGCATAAGTTGTTTTTTTTATTGAAACACATGAGCATGTGTTTAAAATTAACTGTGAGTTTAGCTCTGTAATTGATAACTCAAAAGGCAGCGGAATAAAATAGCTTGCTTTACATGCTTTGTTGAATAAGGATAGATATGTAATTTGAGGCCTTAGGAAGAAATGAACACATCAGCTAATATCTTCTGCATGTTTCTGTCTTGCTCAGATAGTAGTAGCCCCTTGGATTTTGTTAGACTACCCGTTTATTTCTATGACCATAGTCTTATGTTATCATTGTCATTTGTATGCAGTTTTTTATATTAACTAACAAAGCTTGTTTGGAAGTTTTAAGCATTCCCTTCTAATAAAATAATTTTCTACTTTTGACTTACCCTATTTCAATTGTGGAAGCTGATTTTAGTGACTTCTTTATGATATACATTCTTTTGTTCCTTTCAGCCTTTCTTCTGCTAAAATATTTTTTTCCTTCTTTACTAAGGAAATATTCACATTTGAAAAAATTTAAATGGCTATATACTGCTAAATTCAGCTGCTATTTAATTCCAAATACTTGATTATTTTGCTTATTGTGCCTTCTTCAGGGATGGTATGCCGATGCATTCATACAATTTGAAAAAATCAAAGACACAGATTTTCAAGCTATGTATCAACTTGGTGTGATGCATTATGATGGACTGGGGACCAAAGAAGACCCTGTAAGTTGTTATCTAGTTCCATGCTTTTAGTTTTTCTTAAAACGTTACTAGACAATCCCTTAAATAGCTTTCTACTATTTAATAATTGTATTAAACATTTCTCAGCATTATTGAGAAAAGATACAAGAAGGACATATTGTCAAAGAGAAACCTCAAGAGTACAATTTATGGCATATAGGTAGAGCACTGTCTCATCATACAGTGACAACTAATGTGTTTAAAAGGCCCATTTAAAATGGTCTTGAATCTTTTCCTACAACAAAATGGTCTTAATACATTTGAAAAAAACATTTTTTTATTCACTAGCTCTTTCAAGTGCAGCTGTTAAGGACAGAGAACATGTCTTCATATTTGAAAAGCACCTGACTTACTTTTCGTGCATTGAAAACATAACAAACAGAATTTTTCATTTATATTTAAATGAATTAGACTTAGTGTCATTAAAAATAAAGCACCAATTTGCAAAGTTTCAAACTATCCCACAATCTTAAACAAACCTATTCTAGGACAATCAGTAATTAAGATCCTACAAACAGTATCAGTAAAAATTAATTCCATTCTATGACCATTCATTGACCAAAAATTAATTCCATTCTATAAATCTTTCTTCTGTCTCTGTAAAGCAGTAATATTTTTAAATTACAGAGAGAATTACATTGTTTTTGAGAGAGGAAAAAAGCAATGTATTTGGTCTGCTGGACTCCTTCCAATTTGTCCACAACCTTTCTGTCCCCAAACTGGACACAGTACTCCAGATGTGGTCTGACCATCATTTCTCTCCATCTGCTGAAAATGTTCCTGCTAATACAGCCCAGTGTTAGCCTTCTTGGTGACAAGGGCACACTATTGGCTCATATTCAGCTTATTGTGTACCCCCAGGTCCTTTCCTGCAGAGCTGCTACTTAGCCAGTCAGCCCCCAGCCTGTACCAATGCATGGGATTGTTCTGTCCTAAGTGCAGGACTTTGCACTTGTCTTTGTTGGGCTTCATGAGATTTCTTCTGGTTCAATCCTCCTGTTTGCTGAGGTCTCTCTGAATCCTAACCCTACCCTCCAGTGTACTCCAAACTTGCTAAGGGTGAATTCCATCCTATCTTCCATGTTGTTGATGAAGGTATTGAAGAAAAATGGCTCCAGGACTTACCCCTGGGGCACTCCACTTAAGATCAGCTGCCAATTAAACCGAGAACAATTGATAACTAGCCTCTGAGCCTGATGACCCAGTCAGTTTTCTATCTACTTCACTCATCTTTTCTATCCACTTTACTCATCCAACCTGTAATCCCATAGCTTGCTTGTGAGAATGTTGTGGAAAACTGTATCAAAAGCCTTGCTGAAGTAAAGGTATATCACATCCACTGCTCTTCCTGCATTCACAGAGCCAGTCAACTCATCACAGAAGACTCATTAGGTTGGTCAGGCATAACTTACCCTTTGTAAATCCATGCTGACTGTTCCTAATCACCTTCTTCTCCTTGAAGTGCTTAGAAATGGATTCTTTATGATCTGCTTCATAATTTTTCCAGGGACTGAGGTGAGGCTGACTGGTCTATAGTTCCTTGGATCCTCCCTTTTTCCCCTTTTTTAAATACGGGCACTATGTTTGCCCTTTTCCAATCATCTGGGACCTCTCATAGCCATGAGTTTTCAAAGATGATAGCCAATGGCTCTGCAGTCACATCAGCCAACTCCCTCAGCACCCTTGGGTGCATTCCACCCAGGCCCATGGACTTGTATATGTCCAGCTTTTCTAAATAATCCCTAACCTGTTCTGTCACCACCGTTGGCTGAGCACCTCCTCCCTAAACTGTGCTGCCAGGTGCAGTAGTCTGGGAGCAGACCTTGCATGTGAAGACCAAGGTGAAAAAGGTATTGAGCACTTCACCCTTTCCTGCATCCTCTGTCACTAAGTTACCTGTCCCATTCAAGTAAGAGACCCACACTTTCTCTCATCTTCCTCTTGTTGCTGACATACTTGTAGAAACCCTTCTTGTTACCCTTAACATCCCTTGCTAGTTGCAACTTCAATTACAGTTTGGCCTTCCTGATTTCATCCCAGCATGCCTGAGCAATACTTTTATATGCCTCCCTAGTCATTTGTCCAAGTTTCCACTTGTAAGCATCATTTTGTGTTTTAGCTTACTGAAGAGTTCCCTGCTAAGTCAAGCTAGTCTTCTGCGGTACTTGCTAGTCTTTCTGCACATTGGGATGGTTTGTTCCTGTGCCCTACGGTTTCTTTAAAATACAACCAGCTCTCCTGGACTCCTTTTCCCTTCAGACTGGCCTCCCAGGCAACTTGCCCATCAGTTCTCTGAGTTAGTCAAAGTCTGCTTTTCTGAAGTCCAGGGTTCTTACTCTCCCCCTCTCCTTCCATCCTTCCTTGAAGATCCTGAACTCAGTAATCTCGTGGTCACTGCTGCCCAATTTGCCATCCCCTACTACCTTCCCCACCACTTCCATGTTTGTGAGCAGCAGATTAAAAAGAGCATGGCCCCTAGTTGGTCTCTCCAACATTTGTACCAGGAAGTTATCATCAATACTCCTGCAAAACTTCCTGGATTGCTTGCACACTGCTGTATTGATCTCCCATCAGATGTCAGGGTGATAGAAGTCCCCCATGAAAACCATGGCCTATAATTGAGAAACCTTCATTAGTTGTTTGAAAAAAACCTCATCCACCTCATCCTCCTGGTCTGGTGGTCTATAGCAGAGGTTCCCAACCCCCGGGCTGCGAACGGTCACTTCTGGACTGCAGTTTGCCGGTCCTCAGTTTGCTAGTGCACAGTTGCTTCCAGTCTGTGGACTGGTTCACAGTCATTTCTGGTCCACAGTCTGCCAGTCTACGATCTAATAAGGCTAGGAATCCCTGGTCTATAGCCTACCTAAAAGGGGTTGGGAACCCCTACCACAACATCACCCGTGTTGCTTTCCTTTCTGATGGAACCCAGAGACTTTCAGCAGGCCTATCTCCAGTTTTATATTGCAGCTCTGAGCACTCATGTGGCTCTTTTACATAAAGGGCAACTCCTCCTCTTCTCCTCTGCCTGTCCTTCCTGAACAGTTTGTACTTACCTATAACAGTGCTCCAGTTACATGAGCTGTTCCACTAAGTCTCTGTTGTTCCGATCACATCATAGTTCTGGGACTATCCAAGGACTTTCAATTCTTCCTGCTTGTTTCCCAGGCTCTGTGCATTCGTGTGCAGACACCTGAGGTAACTAGCTGGTCTCCATCCCACGGGGAACCTAGTTTAAACCCCTCCTCAGTAGGTTAGTCAGCTTGTCTGCAAAGATGCTCTTCCTTCTCTTTGTCCAGTGGATCCCATCTCTTCCTAGCAATCCTTCTTGGAACAACATCCCATGGTCAAAGAAGCCAAAGCCCTGCAGGCAACACTGTTTGCACAGCCATGCACTGATCTGCAGGATGCAGCTGCTCCTGCCCAACTCCTTCTTGACCAGAAGGATCGGTGAGAACACCACCTGAGCCCTTGTGCCCTTCACCATTGCACTCAGAGCCCGGTAGTCACTTTTGATCTGCTCAGGATCACCCCTGGTCTCGATCCTCCCAACTTGGGGATGCCTGGCCTCTTCCACCAATTCTCTTCTTCCTCTGTTGCTAGGGCTCTGTATCTGTTCTTCAGGCAAACTGCTGGAGATGAAGATGAAGACTTCTGCTTGCTGCCAAGTTCACCAGCATCCACCTTCTTAGGAGTCTATGTCCTTTTCCTTCTCTAGCACTGCCTCTGGAAGGCCTTCCTCTGGAGTCCTAGAGGTCTCCTCCAGCTTGAATCAATGAAATCCTTGTGGCTGAGGATGCTTTTGAGGTTTGCCACCTCCTCCTGTAGCTCTCTTGTCTGCTCCCTGAGGGACACCACCAGGAGGCACTGCTTACATCTCAGACAGTCCCCCACCTGGCTGTCACTGGAAGGAACCTGCAAGCTGCAATCTCCACAGTGCCAAACCAGGACTTGGGTGGAAGCCTTGACAGTGAGTGGTCCTGCCCAGACAGCGACTTCACAAGTGCAAAAAGAGAAAGAGCTGGCAGTGCCAGTGGCTCTGGCATTGTGATGTCCTCTAACCATTTCTCTGAGACTTTTAATCTGCCGCCTCTCTCTTCTAGCCTGTAGGTGGTTGTCAACTACCCGCTCCTTTTCCCCTCAGGACTCACCTGCCACAACTAAGGAGATGGTAAAAGATAGGATGTTAATCCCTGAGGGGAGGGGGTGAGAAGTACCAGACCACCCAGGTGTTAGCTCTACCAAGTGCCTGTCTTTATTGGAGTTAATACAGTGTAGCAGACAGCGCTAATTGCCTCATAAGTGTGGAAGTGGCTATTCAGCTGCTTGGATGATTGCAGCTTCCCTATTGATCCTCTCCCAATTGCAGCTGCCTCTCTGCCATTCTGATCGGGAGCCGGTTGTCTCTGGGGTCTTTTCTCCAGGGTAGTATTCCCAATCTCTCAAGGATCTTGCCAGCCGCCTGCCATCTACTGCCCCCTGAGTGAGTATCCCCGACCTCACCAGTCTGACGTCAGCCTCCTGTGCCCCTGCGCGCAGTGTCTTCCATTGCTCCGTCAGCCCCGTGTCAAACCGCTCTCTTCCTCTCCAGTGCCCCGAGGGTGACTGCTTGGTCTCTGGCTCTTCCTTTTACATGTGGTGGTGGCCATAATCACCCTCATCCTCTCCCAGTGTGCCAGACCCCCTACCGCTGTGTCCCGGGTCTCCTATTTACCCGTGTCCTGGGTTTCCCTAGTAACAGGGGTTCTGCCTGAGCCCCTGTTACACTGCCCCTTTATCCAAGCAGGCCTTCCCTAACAAAGTCACCTGTAAGTTATCCTGTTCACTGCTCCCTGGTCCTGAAAGGTTCCCTTTTTCTTGCTTCCACTCACTAAGCTTACAGTGAAGGAAGGTGAGAGAGTTTCCAGGCAACCCCCTAGTGAACTTCCCTTTGCTCAGGGCACTAATTAAGCAAGGGACTTAAGTATAGGTCTAACTCCTGAGTT